TCAGTCCTCATATATAGTGTCAGTGGTTTATGTATGGTGCCTTTTCGCTTATGTAGGGTTTTTAGTTGATAAAAGAATGGTGTCAGTATCTTGTTTTTTATCTTTGGTTCATTTTAAAATTTCATGGGTGTTGGTTTTCAGAAAACCTCGTTTTGGTGTCAGTACTTCATGTTGGTGTCAGCCCCTAATGAAATGGTGTAAATACCTCATGTATGGTGTCAGTACCTTGTTTTTGGTGCCCCAATCCCCTCATGATGGGGGTCAGAACTTAATGTTTGGTGTAAAAGTTGATCATGTTTTGGTGTCATACCTCATTTATATGTCATGGGCTTATGTAGGGTTCCCTTTTCGTTTATTTTACGGTCAGTTGATAAAGTATGGTTTTCGAAACCCATGTATCGTGTCAGTTATCAAAGTATGGTGCCCGTTGATCATGTATGGTGTCAGTTGTTTATGTTGTTTCAGAAAAACCTTTTTTGTATGGTGTCAGTAAATTTCCATTTCTGGTGTCAGTTTAGTATGTGTCAGTCCTATGTTTTAACCCTTTTTGGCCATTTACTTCATGTAGGGGGTGCCCAAATCCCTCATGTAGGGTGTCAGTAGGTCATTTTATTTTTCATTTATGTATAAAATGTCAGTACCTCATTTTTGGGGTGTAAAACCCCTCTTTTTTGGGGGGCCAGTAGAAAATTTATGGTGTCAGTCCCTTTCATGTTTGGTGTCAGTTGATCATTTTAGGGTTCGGGTTGAAAAATGTTTAGTGTCATCCCCTTCATAAAAAGTGTCAGTAGCTCATGTAGGGTTTGTCAGTAGATCATTTTAGGGGTCAGTGGGCTCATGCACGGTCATTTGATCTGTATGGTGCCCAGTCCCCATGTATGGTGTCATTTTGATCATGTATGGGGGCCCGGGTTAATAAGTATGGTGTCAGTACCTCATTTTATAGTGGGTTAATTTTGGGGAATCATGAATATTTGTCTTTAGGCTTATTTTATGGTGTCAGTTGATCATGTCGGTTTTCAGTAGCTCTGCAGGGTTGGCCGTTGATCATTTAGGGTGTCAGTGGGTTTCTTTATGGTTTTCAGTTGATCTTTGTAGGGTTTTAGTTTAGCCTTAAATGGGGGTCGGTTGATCATGTATGGTGTCAGTTGGAATAAACAGTGTCGCTAGCTCATGTTGGTTTTCAGTTGTTTTTCAGTATGGGGGTCAGTATTTCATTAGGGTGTCGTTGTCTTGTATGGTTTTTTAATAGCTCATGTATGGTGTAAATTGATCTTTGTATGGGTCTTTTTTCCCTGTATTTTTGTCATTTTGATCGTGAAATGGTGCCAGTACCTCATGTATGGTGCCCATTATCTTTTTGGGTGTAGTACCTCATGTTATTTTTTCACGGGCCCTTTGAAATGGTGTCATTCGCTATCTACGGTTTATTTGACAAGTATGGTTTTGGTTGATCATTTTTTTAACCCGTCATGTAGGTGTAGGCGCTCGAAAATTTTGGGTTCATTTGATCATGTATGGTGTCAGTTAATCAGTTCGGTGTCGAACCTCATGTATGTGCCATTTTTAAATCAGAAATATTGTCAATAGTTATGTTGTCCAGTTGATCATTAGGGTTTTTTTTGCATTATCTGTAGGTGTAAATTTGGGGAACCTTTGTTTTGGTGTCAGTACTCAGGGCATGTGTAAATTGAACATTTATGGTGTCAGTACTCATGAAAGGGTTTCTGGTTTTGGTTTGGGTAGCAAGCTCTTTAAAGGGTTAGTTGATAAAGTTGGTGTCGTTGATAAGAAATGGTGGAGGTGTTTGATCATGTATATTTTCCAGTCCCTCATGTTTTGGTTTTAAAATTTGGGGAACCCCATGAAAGGTGTCGTTGATCTTTGTTGGTGTAAGTACCTAAGGTATGGTGAAAGTCCCCATTATGGTGCAGTCCCCTGTGTTTTTGGTGTCAGTTGATGATATATTGTGTCAGTCGCTAAAGTTTTGTATCACCCGCTCATGTGCGGTGTCAGTTGATAAAGGGGGGTGTAAAGTCCCCCCTTGTATGGTTTTAAATTGTCATGTTTTGGTTCATTTTTTAAGATGGTGTAGTTGTCATGTGTCGTATCATTTGGGTTATGTAGGGGTGCCCAGTCCCTCGTGTATGGGGTCAGAACCTCATGTAGGGGTGTCATTTGACCCATGTATAGTGTCGTTGATCATTTTTGGGTTTTCACAATCCCCTTCTACTGTGCCCGTATACATGTCCCCAAAATCATTTCCTCTATGCCCATTATACATGTTGCTATCCATTTACGCCCACAACTTTACTTTTATGTGTCCTTTTTGGGGCACGGGTTTTACAGTGTTATACACACTGAGAGATAAAAAATTTTTTTTTTTATTTTTAAAAATTAAAATTTAAAAAATAAATTTTTAAAAAAAAAAAATATATATAATTTTTAAAAAATAAAAAAATTTAAATTTTTTTTTAAAAAAAAATTTTTTCCCAAAAAAAAAAAAATTTTTAAAAAAAAAATTTAAAAAAAATTTTTTAAAAAATTAAAATTTTTCCCCCTTTTAAAAAAAATTTTTTAAAAAAAAATTTTTTTAAAAAAAAAAACCCCCCCCAAAAAAAAAAATTTTTTTTAAATTTTTTTTTAAAACCCCCCAAAAAAAAATTTTTTATTAAAAAAAATTTTTTTAAACCTTTTTTTAAGGGGGGGAAAAAAGTTAAAATTAACCCTTTTAAACCCTTTAAACCCTTGGGCCTTTAAAACCCCCCCCCCAAAAAAAAATTTTTAAAAAAAAACCCCCCCCCCCCCCGGGCCCCCCTTTTTTTTTTTCCCCCCCAAATTTTTTTCCCTTTTTAAAAACCCCCCCCCCCCCTGCCCTTAAAAAAAAAAATTTTCCCCCCCCAAAAAAAAAAAAAATTTTCCCCCCCCAAAAAAAAAAAAAAAACCCCCCCCCTTTCCCTTTTTAAAAAAACCCCAAAAAAAAAAAAATTTTTTTTTTTTTTTTTTTCCCCCAAAAAATTTTTTCCCCAAAAAAAATTTTTTTTTTTTTTCCCCCCTTTTTTTCCCCCCCCTTTTTTTTCCCCCGGGAAAAAACCCAAAATTTTTACCTTTCCCCCCCCTTCCCCCAAAACCCAATTTTTTTTTAAAAAAAAAAATTTTAAAAAAAAATTTTTCCCTTTTTTTTTAAAAAAATTTTTTTTTTTTAAAAAAAATTTTTTTTTTTAAAAACTTTAAAAAAAAATAATAAAAAGGGGAAAAAAAAATTTTAAAAAAAAATTTTTTAAAAAAAATTTTTTTTTGGCCCTTTTAAACCCCGGGGGAGGGGGAAAAATTTCCCCAAAAAGGGGGCCCCCAAAAGGTTTTTTTAAATACCTTTAAAAATTTACAATATATATAAAATATATAATATAAAAATATTGAAATATAAATTTTTATAAATTTTTATAATAAAATAATATTATATTATTAATAAATATATATTATAAAAAAATATTACATCATCGTCTTAGGTTTAAAAGGGCGGAAAAATTTGACAGTCTAGTGCCAGGTGACAGTACAAGTGGTGTCTTGCCAGGTGACAGTGACAAGTAGGTTCATAGTTCCAAGGGACAGTGACAAGTAGTGCCATAAGTGCCAGCTGACATTTGACAAGTAGTGTCACAGTGCCGGGTGACAGTGAAAAAGTTTGTCATAGTGCCAGGTGACAGTGACAAGTAGTTCCATATTGCCAGGTGACAGTTACAAGTGTTCTATCCCAGGTGACAGTGCAAAATGTCTAGATCCGGGGACAGTGATAAGTAGGGCCATAGTCCAGTGACATGACAAGTAGTGCCCATTGCCAGTTGACAGTGACAAGTTGTGTCTTAGTGGCCTGGTGACAGTGAAAAATAGTGTCATATGCCAGGTGACAGGGGACAAGTATTCATAGTGCCAGGTGACAGTGAAAAATTTATGTCATAGTTCCGTGACAGTGACAAGTAGGGTCATAGTCCAGTGACAGTGACAAGTAGTGTCATAGTGCCAGTAAAGTGACAAGTAATTGCATAGTGGCGGTGACATTTGACAAATAGTGCCATATGCCAGGTGCCCGTGACAAGAAATGTCATGGGCCCAAATTGACAGTAAAAATTTAGGTCAAAATGCCGGGTAAACCAGGGACAATAGTGTCATAGGGGCCAGGTAAAGGACAATATTGCCATAGTCCAGGTGACAGTGACATATAGTATGCCAAAAAATAGTCCCCAAGTGCATGACAGTGACAATTTAAAGTCCATGGCATTACCAATTCGGGGAACAGTGATAAAAGGCCAAAATGCCAGGACATTGACAAGTAGGTCTTTGGGCCAGTGACAGGACAATTTGCCATAGTCCCAGGTGACAGTGACAAGAAAGTCATAGTCCCAGTGCAGTAACAAATAGTGCATAGTCCAGTTACAGTGACAATGATTTAAGATCCCAGGTGACAGTACAAGTAGGTCTGCCGGGTGACATTACAAGTGTGTCATGTGCCAGGTGACATGAAAGTATGCCATAATGCCGGGACATTGACAAGTAAGTCATTGCCAGTGACAGTGACAATTGTGCCATAGTGCCAGGTGACAGTGACAAGTATGTCATAGTCCAGGTGACAGTAACAATAGTGTATATGCCAGGTACAGTGACAATGAGTCATAGTGCCAGATGACAGTGACAAGTAGTGCAGGTCGGGGTCATAGTTAGGCCATAGTGGCAGGTGACAGTGACAAGTAGTGTCATAGTGCCAGATGACAGTGACAAGTTATGCCATAGTGGCAGGTGAGTGACAAGTAGTGCCATAGTGCCAGGTGACAGTGACATGTAGTGCCATACTGCCAGGTGATCGTAATATCGGAACGCTGATCTTAATCTTTATACAGTTCTTTAGTTTAGGTTAAGAACTAAAATTGTAATTAAAAATATTTATTGTTAAAAACTTGAGGTACATTCAGAGAAGATCTGAACTTGTTTGTTAGAGCCTCAGTTCCTCGAGATCTTCAACATTCAGAGAAGATCTGAACTTGTTTGTCAGAGCCTCAGTTCCTCGAGATCTTCAACATTCAGAGAAGATCTGAACTTGTTTGTCAGAGCCTCAGTTCCTCGAGATCTTCAAATAAAGTCATTTTAAATCCGGAAACCTCAAATGCATTAAATATGTTGCTATGTATTGCTAACAAAAGAAACATTCGATGTCATTTGTATAAAAATATATAACAATAGTTGTTATTTGTAATTAATTATTGACTACTGTTCTAAAATTAATATTCTACTACTCGAAACTTAAAAATTTAGGCGAGGACGCGAATGTAAGTAGAGGATGACGTTCACGTCTAGCGTAGCCACGTTCCTGTATCCGTACTTGTATCCTTGTTTATTGTTTATTTAACAGTATATTATTGAGAAAGGTTGGAAGGGCAGCCCCAGGTCTTCTGCAACAGGTCACTCATTTCAAGATCACCAACTGAGCACTTGTTGAAGACCTTCTCGCAGACGGCAGCGTTGCGAGTCTTTATGCCGATATCTGTGGCGTACACGAAGGCGGCGTTATATGGGGTAATGTTTTCAGTGCTGCTGTTAGTGAATAACTTCGCTAGAAGTTTCTCTTCCAGGGTGCGGGATGTTTCCTCCTTAGTCTGCAGTTGGCACAACATCTTACGAATACATCCGTCTTGGTCAAGTTCACTCACAGTGGATAACAAGGCATTCTTCTCTTCCAGAGTTGGGTCATCAACTGAACGCTTTCCGTGAAGGAATCGACGTCCAAACAGGAATAGCCAAAATGCCTGTCGGATAACACGTTTGCGTTAAAGAATTATTATTAATATGTTCATTTAATAAACTAGTCACACCATAAACTGCTCTAGAAAAAAATATCTTATTTTTTATTATCTATTCTGAATTACAAAACAAAACATAACGTTATGCAAATACAAGAGTATTATGTAATAAACAAGTCCACATGGAGGAAATAAAGGAAGAGATCAGAGGAGTAACGTACCCTGAGTGCGGCTAGCCCGAGCAATGGTGCTCCCAGCAGCCCAGCTGCAAGCAAACCGGCTCCGATGGGGTCACTCTTGACGGTGGTCCAGCAGGCAAGCACCAGTACAACAACAACGGTACTCACACGCATCTGTAACAAATTATGCTAATATTTTTTATCCGTCAGGAATAACACAAGTCATAGATGATGACTCATTAAAAGTGTTCGGTATCCGCTGGCCAGGAGGAGCTAGATTTACACCATGTTTAAAAAATATATGTTCACTACATAGATGAATTTCAGATGAATCCAAATGCAGATGTACTAAACCGCATCACCACCGTTTTTGCAGGTATCTCTTGAACACCTGGGTACCAGATTTGTGTAGAAAACCGTAATAATCTCAGTACAATTGATAGGCCTTAAGCCTAAATACCTGCTGCATGCATGAAGCGATTCATTGTTAAAAGAATGTGTCTCACTCTCAAAACAGCTGACATTCATGATCTATGCTTTCATTACTACTAACAGTTAAAATTTTACTGTCACAACGAGCCTTCACTCTTTTTTTTTTTGTTCCCAATCTAACATTTCTGAGATTACCTTCGCAAAAACTGCCATTAACAATCCATACGCTAACAAAAATAATATTAACAAACTCACTTTTAATAAGCATGACACGAACTAAAAATTCACCAAAGTGAATATTCGCAGTTTCACTCTGACCAAATCTTCATAGAACCTTTACCGTAGTTCATATACAACTGTACCATGGATGAACTATGTCCTAAGACTACAAATAGAAACACTATGCTTACAGTGACATCTTCTTACGTGTCGTCTATGATACGTAGCAATATCCATTTGCTCTTGCGCTACCTTTCAAAGGATGGATATGCGATGCTCAGTAAGCTAGCTGCTTCGGCATCCTTCACAAGCTTCACTTTCATCAAAACCAACATTCACAACCTTTTACTATAACTAACATTAGCAATCTCCCATTAAACATAGCACTCACAGCTGCCGGCTATTTATAACACTAGTAACATTTGACCAAAACAAACATTTGCAAACATTTAACAACCTAACATTCACAACCTCACCAAACGTGTCATCGATGAGGGAAACATACCTCAAAAGGCTTGCACTTTGTGTCCTCAAGTTGGCGATCATTCCAGAATAAAACATTTATACTTACAAATTTCAAAAAAAAAAAAAAAAAATCATGCTTTACTACAAAAAAAAAAAAATGTCATGACATCATTTTTCTGTTTACTGTACTCAGTACCCAGTTCGGGGAAAAAGCCATGGTTTACTTTTTGGGAAACCCCAACTATATCTTTAAAAAAATAAATTTTGGATTAGATGAAGTCCTACCCATCTGAAAAGCATTAAGTCAGAGATGAACCCTCAATCCAAGGGTCTCTATAAGTGGAGAGACAATTTTCAAACCAACGTCATGCATCAAGTGAGAACGAAGCTTCATTCCAACTGTCATCATAAAGTGGATGAAACGAAGTTTCATATCCAACTTCATGCATCAAGTGGTGCAGCTGGGATTTTCCCGTACCTTGTCTAGGGCCGAAAGAATTGTTTACGTAACTAACGTTCTTGGGTCACTCGGGGCATTTATAGGCTGTTGACAATGTCATGGGAAGGTCAAACTACTCCTGCAAACATCCCTTCGGGGAACGGGGGGGAACCAACCGGAAAATCATGGGTTTGGGAAAAACCCGCCCTGACCCCCCAACAACCCACCATCACTTTCTCCTGCAAAAACCGGAAACTGGGGAATTGCTGCACTCTTTGTGGACAAATCAAAATTAATATTTCAGTCCCACTCAGCACTGCTTACTTTCTTTGAAAATATTATATTTTAGGTTTTGCTTTTTGTTTTTTAATTCACTGTTTCTTTTACAAAGCTGCTGTTTAAATGTATTAGAAAATATTTTATTCGCATATAAAACTGCATAAAAAAGGTTGTACTAAATACATAAAAACAAACAAAACAGAGGGGGGAACACTGCAGCAGCTTAGGGGCCCCATAAATAAGGAAGTAGAAATTACAGCAAAAAATCGGTTTAAATTTCACGTTTTTAAAAACGGTTTCTAATTGTTTTTTGGAACGCTGAATTAAAATCCAACTTTGTTTTGGTCCAACACGAAATTTTCTGTAAAAACAAAAACCCCTCAAGGTGAACGATTCACCAAGAAATAGCCCCCAGGGAAAAGACATTAGGGAAAACCTTTAAAGGTCATTTGATGGTCGACACTGCTGGACACTGTAGGAAGACTATTCAACACAAGCGAAAAGTCTGAAAAAATGTGAGTAAATATTTTTGTAAAAAATGTTGGAATTTCTGTCATTTTTGTTCTTCACCTTTAAAAAGATTAGTTTTGGTTCTACAACGCCATACTTAATATTTATGTGAACGTAATACATATTGTTGTTAGGGAACATAACGTGGTTTTTTCAAACTTAAATTGGCGAAAAATAAAAACATACACACACCACACACAAACACCACACACCCACACACAACCGCCTTTTTTGCAGATGACGGAAGTTGATAAAAATTCACTCATCGAAGACCAGGAGAACTAAAAAGGGATCGGACAGGCGCGACCTGGTCCACAAGGGCTCCTGAGTTCAATCCCCCAATGCAAAGTCGAAGATTGGGGAAGGGCAAAGAAGGGCCGCAGACGGGTACAGTCTAGGGGTCAAGACTACAAACCCACTCAAGGAAAAAGATCTTGGGGGTAGTAAACACCAGGCACATCTCCTAAAAGCCCACATCAACCAAATAACTGCGCAGCAAGGGGCGCCAGCAAACCCAGAACGCTTTCCCAACATCTTAAAAAGGAATCATTCAGCCCTGTAAAAACCGTGACTTTAGGCCCATTTTTGGAGTATGCGGAAAACCATTTTGGAACCCACACCTACCCAAGCACGTAAGAAACTAGAGAAAGTGAAAGGTTTGCAACAAGACAGCCCCCAACTAAGAGTATGTCCTACGGGGAGGGGTTTAAAAAATCAACCTGAACCGGAGGACAGGAAGATGGGGGACATGAAAACGACATACAAAAAAACTGAGAGGAATTGACAAGGGGGACAAAACGGATTTTTCAGAGATTGGACACAGTAACAAGGGACACAGTTAAGCTGAAACACAGATGAACACAGGGATGTTGGGAAAGTATTCTTCGCCACAGAGTATCAGAAATGGAAAATTTTGGGAAGCGTGTAGTGGAGGCAGGATCCATACATAGTTTTAAAAGCCAGAGGAATGATAAAGCCACGGCTCAGGGAGAGTGACCTAGTAACGCAGTGAAAGGGGGGGGCCGGACTCGGCTCGACCCCCCCAACCTCAACAGGTGAGTAAAACTAGGTGAGTAAAAACCCATACTGAAGAAATCGCACCGTTTGGAATCCACACAAAGTCAAGCACTCAAAATTAGAGAAAGTGAAAAGGTTTGCAAAAAGACAGCCCCAGAGCTACGGGAATTTCGTGAAGAAAGGGTTGAGGGAAATGGGGCCTGCCTACACTGGAGGACAGGAGGGTCGGGGAACATGATAACGACATATAAAAAACTGCGCGAATAGACGAGGGGACAAAGAGGGGATGTTCCAGAATGGGACACAACCCAAGAGGTCACAATTGGAATTGAAGACTCAGATGAATCAAAGGGAGTTGGGAAGTATTTTTTCAGTCATGAGTTCACCTTGGAATAGCCTAGAAATGATGTAGTGGGGCGGGAACCATCAAGTTTTAAAGGGCGAGGTAATAGACTAAAAGGGGGCAGGGAGAGAGAGGCCCCTAGACAATCACGAAAGGGGGGCCCAAAGACAGTGAATCGACCCCTGCAACCACAAATAGGTGAGTACAAAAGGGATAACACACACACACAAAACAAAAAACCACACACACACACAAAACAAGAAAGTACTCTCAATAATAATAATAATAATAAAAATAATAATTAAATTATTTTTATTATTTTTTTATTTATTAATTTTTAATTATTATTTTTAAAATTTTATATTATTATTTTTATTTTAAAAATTAAAACCCCTAAAAAAAGGAGAAATTCATAAACAATCAAATTCAAGATAACCCTCGTACACAGCTTCCAGTACCAGGCACCAGAGGACATACAGAGATTCACTCTCCCGTTGCACAGATCGTTGCACAACTGCTTTTTTTTTAATATGAAAATATTCCATTGTAAAACTGAGAGATGTGTGTAGTTCCCGCACCAGGTTCCCGGAAGACAGTCAGGAAGAGTGTGTGCACTTGTGAAAGAGACGGGCGCTGAGTCTGGGTTTACACGAATTCAACCCACAAACAGGTTTATTTTTCGGGGAATAATGTTATTAACGTTGTAATATTGACGAGTTTGTATTAGTATAAATATTATCATTATTATTGTTATTATTATTATTATTATTATTATTATTATATTATTATTATTATTATTATTTATTATTATTATTATTATTAATTATTATTATTATTTATTATTATTATTTTTATTGTTTTGTTATTATTTTTTTTTATCATTATTATTATTAATGAAATTTTGATTAAGGGGTTTCAAAACCTATCGATACACTAAGGTCTTAAGGCTGAAAGTTTGGCTTTTCACCACAGACAAGAATACTTTACTAACTAAACTGGGTTGAAGTAATTATAAGTACCATGATACACTAAAATTATATATTACCATGATACATTACCATGATACACTACCATGGTACATTACAATGATATATTACCATAATGCATCACCATGATACATTACCATGATTCACTACCATGATACATTACCATGATACATTACATGATACATTACCATGATACATTACCATGATACATTACCATGATACACTACCATGATATATAACCATGATACAGTACCATGATACACTACCAAGATACATTACCATGATATATTACCATTAGACATTGCCATGATACATTACCATGATTCACTACCATGATACATTACCATGATATATTATCATGAAGCATTAACATGATACATTATCATTATACACAACCATGATGCACTGTCATTATATATTACCATGATATGCTACCATGATACACTACCATGATATATTACCATGATATGTTACTATGATACAC